CCAGCAGTGTGGCAACTCCAATTTAAAAGCAATCCAGCAGAGCGCCCTGGGAAGCTTTCTGTAATGATTTTCTGCAAGATCCAATAGGAGTCAGACCTCTCTGGCCAGCAAAAACAAGAAAACAAATGTGTATTACTTGCTCTGGTAATGAAAGTACTTTATGATCTTTATAGAAAATACGTGAGATTTTAAAAGGATTTAAAATTACTGATAACCTGTCTCCTTTTCAGTCTCCCATTCCAAGACAACCAGCATTAATATTTTGCTGAGTTCTCCTTTCATCTTTTTAAGAGGCATATATTTATATTTGTAATATAATGTATACTATGACTTTGCACCCTCCTTTTTTTCTACTGAATATCATGAACTTTTTTATCAAATATTCTTTAAAAGCATGTTAAAGACAAATGTTTACAGTTATAGCCTATACACAGATCCTGTTAGATCCATTTTGTGACAAAACACATGGGAACAGATCCTTTGCCAAACCCGTCCTCTTTGACCCCTGCCTTCTGTCTTACCCTCAGTCGCCCAAGCCTGCCAGCCTGTTTTGCAGTCTCAGTCCCACTAAGGAACCTTTCAGGAGCTGGAAATCTATGTCCCAAAGAACAAAGAGGTGAAAACAGAGAGAGCATCAGGGTGAAGCCAGGCTTCTCACTCACCTGTCTGAGGAACCGATTGTTGACGAGGTCAACCACGAGGACCTGCAAGATGTGGAAGAGGTCTATGACGTCATCAGGTTTCTGGGATACAGTGATGGTTTCTTAGCTTTCTTCCCTCTTGGCACCAAGAGAGGCAGCTGGGGTGGGGGTGGGGCGGGCCGTTTGTGGTTGCCACAGTAGCCACAAACTATGAAGAGGGGAGATGGGGGGCGGGCAAGGGCTTTCCAGAATTGCATGCTTTCAACACTGAGACTGCAGGCTGGGCTATGTGAGTTCCATGGGCCGGACTGCCTGCCCTGCTTCCAGACTGGCTGCAGTAGAGCCACTACGGCTGACTTTTCACAAGGAGATTGCTGAGCAGGGGGAAGACGCTAGAGGCCCCTCTTCCCATTGCACTAAACTCTGCCACCCCCCCACCCCCAGGACTTCTGCATCTTTCCTCCCAGCTACCCACTTGGCCTTGTCACTTCTCTTAATGGGACAGAAAGAGAGAGAGACCCAGAGGAATGGATTCGACTGGAGAGTCAGTCAAGCTGCAAATGTTGGGCTTTCCTC